TTTGCCTATTATTCATGCAATTAACAGTAATCCTGATGATAGACAAATAATAAGTATCCTTTACTAAACATTGTATTTGTCATAAAATATCGAACATAATCGAATTGCAATGAATTAATTATTAGATATACGATTACGTTCAAAATTTTTATGATTTATAAAATTTAAATATCCTTAATAAAATGTCAAAAGATATTCTAAAACAACAAACAATGGATATCGAGATGAAACGTCATTGTGTTAAACTATTAGATAGTTTCGGATCGTTGAAGTACACGAGAGATCTACTTGAGGAACTGGATACGAAGGTCAGAATCGAAATTGAATATTTAGGAGGTAACCCGCTCTTCATGAAGGCTATGGACGAGTTAAAAAATGGAATGCCAAAGACGCACGCCGATATGCTTACTAGAAATCAAGATTGTTTGTAAAACACCAAGCGTACCAATTTTCGTGATTTTTCTATAGCACTGTCCATATATGTATGGTAGGCTTTAGTAATAGTGTAATTGGCAACAAGAAGATGACAAGAGAAAATGATACATAAGAAAACGTATTAAAAATATAAAATAAAAATGTTGTTTACGGGACTTTCGTTGGGAACGTTTGTAGAATTTTACTGGGTATTCACACTATAAAAACAAAAATATATTTCCACAAAAAAGTCAAAGAATAGATATTTGTAATCCCATAAAAAAATCTTTTTAAAAAAAGTAAAAATATACGCCAAGTACATAAAAAATGTCGCATATTACATTCTTTCTAAAACTAAGAACATTTAAATATTCATTGATTGATCAAAAATAGTCGTAAAATCAACAAAATTAACCAAGTACCTCATTATTAAAAAAAAAAGACTACTTGTACTACAAAAAAGCTTATTTGTGAAAAACATGCAAAAATTAAAAAAATGGAAAAGTAGTAGTAATAAACTGAATCAAAATGAAGAAAAAACTTGGCGTGCCCGGGTCGCATTAATTGCATTTTTGTAATAAATAATATATAAATTTGTATGAAAATAATCAAGCGACGCGGTAGCGGCGCGACGCCAAGTACCTAAAAATCTGCGTGTTACTTTATTGCGCAAATGTCGTGACGCTACCATAGCTTTATCTGGAATTCTTATGTCAAACATACTTTCAATTCAAATATCTCAGAAATTATAACAGCAATACAAGATCTAGCGACATTTTCTGATATAATGTCGATACAA